AGTGATCTTTCAGCCCATCTAATCCAAACCCAACATTTTTTGATGGGAAAATAAAGAGACAAAGAGACAGACAGACAGGCATATGTAGAGATTTATATATTTATAGAGATATACACACATACATTTATGTTTATACACACACATATAGTTTTTTGTGAATTGCTTGGGACAAGTGATAACTGTGCTGTAGTTTCGTTTTGTGTCAGTAATAGTCATGTGTGTAGGATTCTACTGACACTAAACTGACTCAGAACAGCTAACTTTGACCAGATGAAACTAGACTGAGGGATGGGGGAAAAGGAATAATAATTTTTGTAGTACCTTCTACGTGCCAGGCATCGTACAAAGCATTTCATAAATAGGTTCTCACTTGAATCTCACAACAACCCTGTGAGGTAGGCTCTGTTGTGATTTTCATCACAACAGAAACTGAAGCAGGCAAAGATTAAGTGACTTGTCCAGGTTCATACAGTCAGTAAGTGTCCGAAACCAAATTTGAGCTGAGGTGTGCTTGACTCCAGGCCCAGCACTATATCCATTGTGCCACCTAGTTACCTTCCCCACCTTTAGTTCTCTGTCAGTGCATGCTAGATTTTCTGTCATACATATTTTTTTTCATTGATGTCTTTTATCATGCTTTTAATTGTCACTTTAAAAAATGGCTATTAGTCCAAGGAAACATACAAAAGTTGTCAATCTTAAAGAGCACACTTCATTGACTGTTAGAGATATTACAACAGCTGATGATGAAGGGAAGTCAAGCATTTAAAGGATCATTCAAGCCCCACAATGAAACAGTATCAATCACACCAAAAATGTAAAGGAAAGTGTAATCAAAAATGAAAGTCAATGCCAAGAACTAACAAACTATTGCTGCAAAAACATCCAAATAAATGCTCAGAAAACAAGGCGAATGAATAATTTGTTCCTCTACAGCATGATGTAGACTTCCTGATGTTGAAAAATAGAGGGGGAAAAAACAGTTAAAAAAAAAACAGTTGCTAGCAGTTTCTATGTGAAAAAATACTTATCATGAACATGACAATACAAAAACTGATACATTAGAGATTGGAGAAAGAAGGTAATTTTAATTATTAAAAACACTTTTAAATTTAAAGCTATATAAAAATTATTGTCAGAAGATAGTCAAGGGAGTTTTCAAAATCTGAGTATCTTCATCACACCCTAAAAGGTTCCCTCAAAAAATGTTGCAGTGATTTTATTTCCAGTGACTTCCATTGGAAGTCTTATCTCTATTGAGTAAATGATGAAGTCTGATAAATCTATTTATATACTGAGAAATAATAACATTCTGTAACTACAAAAATTTCCAAATGGAGATGAAATATAGCAACATGACTTTGCATCATGCGACACATCAGTCAGTCAGTTTTTTAGAACATCACTCTCTCCTGGTTCTCTTCCTAACTGACTACTCTTCAGTTTCCTTTGCTGGAATTTCATCTAGGTTACACCTACTAACACCAAGTGTCCCACTCTCATCTCTTTGTATTTATTATTCCACTTGATGATCTTATGAGTTTCTATGGATTTAATTATCATCTCTATGCCGAAGATTCTCAAATCTACTCAAATCAAGTCATCAATGTCTATCTATTTCAGTTTTCTCAACTATACAATGGGAATAATAATAGCACCTACACCCCAGGATTGTTGTGAGGATCAAATGAGATATTTGTAACATGCTTAGCACAGTGCCTGGCACATAGCAGGCATTAGCATCCAGCACCTCATTCTTCAGAAAGAGCTTCAGATTTGTTTTTCACCTCCAAGTACTCAGTGGTCCTGCTTTCCTTCCTCACTCCAAACTCTACATGTAGATCAGAATTTGTTACTGTCACTTTAATACAATATTTTTCTTAGTCTTTACCACAAAACTTTTTCTCCATTTCTTTAAGGAATACTTCATTGTCTCTGTTAGGCTGGGGTGCAAAGAGGAATTTATTTCGCAGCCCGATAATTCAATGGATTCCAAATCCAATAAATCATTAGGCTTCATCTGCCCATCTTTTACACTGATTAAAATACAAACATTCCGACTCTCAATTCAATTATCTTTCCATTACAACATACTTTAAAAAAATTTTGTTGCATATGACATGGCTTGAAATACATAGGTCATCAAACATGGCTCAGAAACATTTTAGTGAAACATTGACTGTCACAGTGGGCAGCAAGGTGGTGCAGTGATTATAGTACTGGCCTAAAGTCAGGAAGACTCATCTTCCTGAGTTCAAATCTGGCCTCAGGCGCTTACTAGCTGTGTGACCCTAGGCAAGTCACTTGACCTTATTTGTCTCAGGTTCCTCATCTATAAAATGAGCTGGAGAAAGAAATGACAAACCACTGCGGTATCTTTGCCAAGAAAACCCCAGATGAGGTCACGAAGAGTCAGACATGACTAAAATGAATGAACAACAACAAGATTGTCATGGTGTTGGCATTTGTTATCATAGGGTTTTATCAGAGAAGGGGAGGCAGAATTTATTTCCCAGTCTCTATTTTGACTAATCATCTCTTCCTCCGCCTTGATTTATATTTATTTTATTTATATATCTCCGGTAAATATGTAAGTGTAGTAGAAATAATGCTGATTTCAGAGTCAAAAGTCCCAATTCTGTTATTCCCTAGCTCTTTGGGCCTCAGTTTTCTCATTTAAAAAATATGCAAATTAGACTAATTGACTTCTAAGGTCTCCCCTACCTCTTAAAGGTCCATGATCCTAAAAATGTCTTATCCACCTAATTTATTAGTTCATTAAAGGGAGACTCTATGTTGTATTTCATCTCTATCTCTCCCTCAGCGCCTAGCAAGTGTTCTACACATACTAGGGGATTGATAAGTATTTATTGAGGCTATTTTCAAGATGGATATAGATAGAATAAACCTACAGGTGAATCTCCCAGATTGGGGGGGGGGGAGGAGGAGTCCTCTCTGCCTAAAGATTAATATTTGAAGGTCATCAAGTCATAAGGTTGAAATAGATTTTAACAGCCATTCCACAAGTGACAAGCATCACCTTAGTTTCCAATCTTTTGCTTCCAGCAGCTGCTGGTAGGTAGAACACTGAGCCTAGAGTCTGAAAAACCTGAGTTAAAATTTGGTCTCAGATACTTTGTTTTGTGGACCCCTTTGGCAGCCTGGTGAAGCCTATGGAACCCCCTCCTTCTTTAAATACTGTTTTGGTTTTTTTTTAAGGCAATTGGAGTTAAGTGACTTGCCCAGGGTTACACAGCTAGTAAGTGTCAGGTGTTTGGTCTGAGGCCAGATTTGAACTCAGGTCCTCCTGACTTCAGGGCTGGTGCTCTATCTCCTGTGCCACCTAGCTGCCCCTTAAATAGTGTTTTTAAATGTATAAAACAGCATGCGTAAGATTACAAAGGAAAACCATTATATTGAAACACATAGAAAATATATCCTTTGACACAGCTATACTACTGCTAGGCCTCTACCCCCAAAGAGATCAAAGAATGAAAAAAAGGGCCTAAATATACCAAAAATATTTCTAGTAGAAGGAAGGAAATAAGCATTTATCAAACACCTACTAGGAGTTAGGCACTGTGCTAAGTACTTTTTAAAATATTATCTCATTTGTTCCTCACAACAACCCTTTGAGCTAGGTGTTATTATTATCTGCATTTTATGATTGAGGAAACTGAGGCAGATAAAGGTTAAATGACTTGCCCTGGATAGCAGAGCTAATAAGTATCTGAGACCAAATTTGAACTCAAGTTTTCCAGACTCTAGGCCCAGTGTTCTACCAGCTGCTACTGGCAGCAAAAACCTGGAAACTAAGGTGATACTCAGCCCTTGTGGAATGACTGAACACATTATGGGGTATCAATGTAACAAAATATTATTGTGCTATAAGAAATGAGGGGAAAGATTTCAAAGAGCTATGGAAAGAATAGAGTGAAGTGAATAGAACCAAAAGAACAGCCTTATATTATAACATCAATATTTTAAAACCAAAGCATTTTTAACATTTGTATGAACTGATGAGAAATGAAATTAACAGAACCAGGAGAATAATTTATACAATACCAACAACACTCCCAAAATAAATAGCTTTGAAAGTCATAAAAACTCTAAACAATGCAATGACCATCCACGATTCCAGATGACCAACAATGAAGCATTCTCGCCACACACTGATAAAGAGGTGATAGACTACAAGTGAAGAATGAGGGACATATTTTTAGACACAATCAGTGAGAAATTTTGTTTTGCTTGACTATGTATATTTGTTACAAAGACTTTGTTTTTCTTTTTCTTTCCTCCAATGGGATAGGAGTGGGTTGAAAAGAAAAATCAATTCCCATTCCTTAAAAATTTTTAATTTAAAAAAGAAATATAATCATAAAGATATTTTTAAAAACATGTTCATGGGTCCCAGGTTGAATATTTTGATTAGTTCAGCACCTTCACTTTCCAAGTGAAATTTCAGCCAGATTAAGCAGTTTGCCCAAGAGCCAGGAGGTAAATTCAAGAGCTCTAACAACAAATTTAGTGTTCATCTCACTATTCCGTACTGCTTCTCATCATAGGTAAGGTATAGTTTTTAACTATTAATTACACAGAAAAACACATGACAGCCATCCATCAAAAAACAAGGAAAATGTTTTTGTCTGAATGTATTACAACTATTTACACTTTCTTTTCTGCTTAACTTTGTAAGATGAGGGCTTAAAACAATTTGATTTTTTTTAGTGAAGTGCTTATAATCATGTATCCTATAAACTTGCCACATCATTCCATTATGCAAATGACTTATAAGCTATGCAATTTAGCTATTAAGAAGTAGAATGTTTAATTTTGCTAATCTTATCATGAAAAAGCTTAACTAGAACTCTAATAATCATAATATATATTTCAATTTTTTAAAAAGTCTACATTGCCTACTAAAGTCTATTGAAAAATACCAGGGCTTAAGATTTATGACATGATGCTGAATGTATGAGTCAGCAAAATATACCTACCATATCTCCAGGCTTAGATAGGTATACCGATGTTGACTTCAAAGTAGTCAAGGAGTAAAGCCTACATGGACAAAGCAAGAAACAAAAGGTTTAAAGTGGATTATGGTTAGTGGGGAAGGATAGTAAACATTCCCACTTTCCTCAACATTTTAGTATAGTGGAAGAACCACTGGATTTTAATTCAGAGAAGCAGATTTGAAATCATCAGAGAATCAAACTTTGAATCATAACTGATGCTTAATACACCTGGGAAAAGTCACTTTTTTTCTCAGGACCTCAGTTTCCTCATATGTAAAGTGATTGGTCTCTAAGGTCCTTAACACTCTAACTCCAATAATCTTCAAGTCATGCCATAAATTATTCATTTCTCATATGTCTTGTATCATATGGAACTTCTAAGAAATAAAAAGAAGAGTGAAATTCTCCATCTACTCCTATATTCTCTGAAAAAGGCAGAAAATACCTCTTTTTCTAATACTCAGACTACATGTCCATTCAGGGTAAGTGCCTTTTCCTGGACCATTTCCATGCTACTGGGGGTGGAGCCAAGATGGCAGAAGGAAAGCAGTGACTTGCTTGAGCTCTCCCACAAACCCCTCCAAATACCTATAAAAAAATGGCTCTAAACAAATTCTAAAGCAGCAGAACCCACAAAAAAAACAGAATAAAACAAATTTCCAGCCCAAGACAGCCTGGATGGTTGATCAGGAAGGTATATCGTAGCGGGTGGGGACAGGAGCGCAGTTTGGCGTGGGCGCGCAGGCCGTGGACTGAATTGCAGGCAGCTGTGGCGGTTTCCAGACTTCTCAACCCCTGAACACCAAAGACAACTTAGAAGGTCAGTGGGAAAAGTCTGGGACTGTGATGAGAGAGAAGGGCAGCAGCTCTCTCCTGAGCTTCTGGTCCACAGACTGAGGGAAAATCGAGTGGCTGATCAGAGGGGAATTGCAGGAATCCCTTGCTTTACCGGTGCTTGGATCTGGGTCACAGTTCTGAGGGACGGTCCTGGGGTGAGGAGGAGCGCTAGTGCGGTGGAGCTTGTTGTGGCAGTGGAGAGGAAACACCTCGCCCCTTATCATAGCACCTTGGAAGAACTGAAAAGTTTCAGGTCCCTAGAAGTATCTCTGAAAACAGCTGTACAAATCCCTGAAGCTTGGGACAGTCCATTTCCATGCTACTGAAAAGCAGTTGTAAGCATCCAGTAATATATCAGTTGATAAGCATTCAAATTGCTTTGTGGAGTCCATATCTCCAACTGAATTTGTATAATTTGTTGTTCAGTTATTTCAGTCATGTACAACTATTTTTGAACCCATTTGGGATTTTCTTGGCAAAGATCCTGAAGTGGTTTGCCATTTCCTTTTCCACTCATTTGGCAGTTGAGGAACTGGGGCAAGCAGGGTTAAGTGACTTGCCCAGGGTCACACAGCTAGTAAAGGTTTGAGGCCAGATTTGAACTCAGAAAGATGAGTCTTCCTGACTTCAAGCCCAATGCTCTATCTACTACACCATCTAGCAGACTTAATTTATATAGTTGTTCTTCACAAAACACCCAACCAATTTCACAAATTTAAGATGATAATTCCCACCAGTTCACTTTCCAATTCATTCTGAATGGTGCTGCCATAGTTATCCATGATAATGGTAACAATAGATGTCATTCAACTGCTTCCAAATTTCAGTGGCTTAGCATTCATGATACAATGGCAAAAATATTGAGTCCAGGATCATAAGACATGGTTTCAAATCCTACCTCCAACAATTACTATCTGAAGGATCTTGAGCAAGTGATTTAAACTCCTAAGTCTCAGTTTCCCCATCTTTAAAAGAGGGGATTGGACTAATTGACTTCTGAGAGCCCTTCTGTGGTAGACAGAGAGCTGACCTCAAAGCTAAGATATAGTCCCATCTCTGACAACACACTGACTGTGTAGATCTGAACAAGTCATTTAACCTTTTAGTACTCCAGTCAACTCTCTGAGACTGTTAAGTTGCAGAGAAGTGCGAATTTGTAGTGGTAGAGTTTCCCTATCCAGGAATTCCCTATTGCAATGAAAACACAGGTTCATATCCTTATCCCTATAACACTGCTTATTGAATCAAGTCTGGATTCTTCACTCTGACATTAAAGTCTAGCTGCAATCTGACCCTAACTTTTTTTCCCAGTCTTATCCCTGACAAGAAAAGAAAAAGGAAGGAAGGAAGGAAGGAAGGAAGGAAGGAAGGAAGGAAGGAAGGAAGGAAGGAAGGAAGGAAGGAAGGAAGGAAGGAAGGAAGGAGAAAGGACAGAAGAAGAAAGGAATGAGAAAGGGAAGGAAGCAAAAGAGAGAAAGGAAGAAGAAATGAAAGAAAGAAAGAAAGAAAGAAAGAAAGAAAGAAAGAAAGAAAGAAAGAAAGAAAGAAAGAAAGAAAAATTGTCATTATAAACAGACAGTTCTGTTGATAGTCCTCAGACCAAAGTTTCTCCCCTCTTTCCCTTTGCTCATATCACTTGTTCCACCTCAGTGGCCCTCCACATTCTTCTCCATCTAGCTTACCTATCATTGATGATTCTTCCCGAAGACTCCTCCAACTGAAAATATTTCACCTCCTTCCTAAACCTTGTGTGGTTTTGTTCATACCTCTTTTTGTGTACTTTTCTTAACTCCTCTACTGGGTCAAAAGTTCCTTGAGGGAAAGAGTACACCTCATTTATGTCCATATCAAACCTAGCGCCTAAGAAATAGCTTTTCACTTGGTAGGTGATATATAGTCTTAGTACAAGTCTTAGTACACTTTTAAGCTACTAATAGATAAAACTATATATACACATCATTAAATTCAAGACCCCATAAGGACCTACCAATACAGTACCTTGCAACTGTTACATGCTTAATAAATACTTGCTAAATTTGATATTTTAAAGGAATTATAAGTGTTCCCTAAGGTATTAAATAAGAACTACCATCAAATCACAAAGGAAATTATCACATTATAAACCTGGGTCTAGGTTAAACTTTCTAACTGTTCCAAATCTGTTTACATCCTGTCCAAGAAAAGTGTTCCAAAAAATATGCATTTTTTTAATATGCTGCTACTGATAAGATTCTTTGAAGCATTTAACTAATGTACTGTTTCATTGACCTCTGTGAACTCTTACCAAGCTAATACGTCCCAACCTTTGTTCATAAGATTTTGAAAAGAAAAACGTGATAACCAACATCAACTAGAGTGAAAAAAAAAAAAGGAGAGAAACAAAAATACCCAGAGGAAGAAGGAGAGGTAGTAAATTAGTAGTTTCTATATTAGATAATCAGAGTTAAAATAAAATCAAGGTGATGGTTCTTCTGGTACACTTTACAACCAAAGATAAGTTTTTAGAGCTGGCATCTAAAATCAAGTACATGGTTAGAGATATGTATTTATGCATTTATCTATTCAACAAACATTTATTAAGAACTTAACATGTCCCATTATGTTAGGACTTGTGAGGGATTAGAAGATAAATGAGGGCTTGGTCCCTAACTTCAAGAAACTTTATAATCTATTTTTAGAAGGAAAGATAAAAAATGTATACAAAAGGCCTTGTATTATGTTCAAGTACCATAGAGTAGTACAGCATCATGACATGGGAGTTCAGAACAGGAAAAGAAGGCTTCCATCGAGGTCAGCTAGAAAATTATTCATGGAGGCATAGCTTTCAGGAATAAGGAGGTGATAGTCCCACTGTTCTCTGCCCTGGACAGATCATATCTGGAGTATTGTGTTCTGTTCTGGGCGCCACATTTTAGGAAGGATATTGATAAGCTGGGGAGTATCCTGAGGAAGGTAACCAAGCAACCAATATGGTGAAGGGCTTCCAGGTCATGCCACACAAGGACTAGCTGCAAGAGCTGGGATGCTTAACCCAAGCAGGAGAAGAATGGGGGGGAGGGGAAATCAATGACAAGATAGCTATCTTCATGCATGTGAAAGATACCACTGCTTACCCCCAGGAGAAAGAACTATAAGTAGTGAATGGAAGCTGCAAGGAGACTGGTTCAGATTTGATGTAATGGGCTGCTTCAGGAAAGAGCTCCTGTCACTGGAGATCTTTTTCTTTTTTTCTTTTTTTTTTTTTGGCTGGTTAATGGGGTTAAGTGACTTGCCCAGGGTAACACAGCTAGTAAGTGTTATGTGTCTGAGGTCAGATTTGAACTCAGGTCCTCCTGAATCCAGGGCCAGTGCTCTATCCACTGCACCACCTAGCTGTCCCAATCTTTCTCTTTTTAATTTAAATTTATTTATTTATTTTCAATTACAAATCATCTCACCCTCTCCCACCTATTGAGAAAACAAGATATATGGTGCCCATTATACATATGACATCACGCAAACCTTATTTCTGCATTAGCTATGTTTTTTTGGCCAGGAGGGGCAAGAAAATAAAGGGGAAAAATATACTTCAATCTGCAATCTGAGTCTATTAGTTCTCTCTCTGGAGGTGGATAGTATTTTTCATCATGAGTCCTTTGGAGTTCTGGTGGAACATTGTACTGATCAGAGTTATTAAGTCTTTCATACTTGATTATCTTTATATTATTGATTATCTTTGTAATGGTTATCTTTAACAACAATATTGTTGTTATTGTGTAAATTGTTCTCCTGGTTCTGCTTACTTCACTTTGCATCAGTTCATGTAGGTTTTTCCAGGTTTTTCTGAAACACTGGAAGTCTAATAGCAAAAGTTGGATCACCACGTGTCAGGAATAGTATAGAAGAGCTTTTTTTCAGGCTTGGTTGCATTGACTGGCTATGGAGGCCTCTTTCAAGTTTGTGATTCTGTGAGGATCTGACATTTGAACTGAACATGGAGAATAAGGGCATTCTAAGGTAAGGGGACAGCATAATCAAAAACAAAAAGTCAGGAAAGGATAAAACATTTTCAGAGAAATGTAAGTAGTCCATTTTGGTTAATTCATTGTATAGAAGAAATTTAAGAGAGAATCCTGGCAAATGACCATATTTGGGAAAAGGGAAAGAAAGAGGAATCATCAAAAGAAACAGAAAGTTCAGAGAAAGAAGAATAAAGGCCAATGAATC